AACTTGATCGACAATTTTTCAAAAAAAATTAATTTAAAACTACTTTGGAAAATTTTTTTCGACTTAATTTCACTTTATTCCTCTATATCTGGGTTAATATTGAAATCGGAGCTATAATATAAATTTTATTGTCTTACCGAGGAGTACCTGTTTTTATATGTTACCATTCGAAACAATCATGCAGTGGTTTTCCGTACTCATATGATTGCATAAAATATTATCCATAATACAACTTCCAAAATAACAAAAATTATCTGAGAAAGTTCTAAAATCATAAAAATCTGAACTCAAGTCATTAATTAAGCAAACACCTGCATATAATGTATATAGTGAAAGGTCTGTTAAGTGAATACTCTAATAATCGGACATTTCTCTTAATCGTGCAATGTTTCAAGACCACAGTTTTAATTTTTTGTACTCGTATCAAGTGCATTCTATTTAACTTTTAAATGCATAGAATTGTTGATACTTCTCTACAAGAGAGTTTTCACTGTACTCGCATATAATATACGAAATAATGGTGCACATAATACGTCATAAGCGTTAGTAATACTCACAAATCATATATCACTTAAAACTTTTTTTTTAGTATGGAATTTAAATGTGACTTTTGCTTGAATTATTCTATATTTGTGTAATTACCATTAAAAAATGTGTAATCACTGAGTAATTTGAACCTTAAACTAAAACAATGCTGCTCTGTATACTTCTCTACGGGTTGGTTAGGTTCAAGCTTATAAATATTCTAAGCCTTTAACAAGTTCTATGAATATAAATTAATAACAATTTTTCATTTGTTTTTTTTTATAATATTATTAATTTAAGTATTTAAAAATTCTAATGTTAGCAAAAAATTATAATAGTTATAAATTCATTTTAATGCGTTGCTTTTATTTTATTAATGACCCATATAAACCTGAATTCCAAATAATAAAAGGCGTCAGTCAGCTTATCATATTTGGTTCTGGTATAATCAACTAATTTTTATTCGTTAATTTGAAATTATAATTTCATTGTATTTAGTTAATTTTTACAAAACTTCCGTAATTTATTTTAGCTATTCAACAGAAAGAAAAAAAAATTTTAATAATAAAACAATAAAATATGGGAGGTTGGTATTATTGGAGGGGAGAAAATTATTCGCTTTTTATATTTTTCAAATTTCTAAAACGTTTTATAAATAATATTTATAAAATTAGATCATGTGATCAACCTTTTAAACAAAGCATTTTACATTTATTTTCAAATCTAATATTTCAATAATTTTTATTAAATTGACTTCAAATCATTGAACACTGACACGTGATGATGACGTTAATACGATCACATTGTAGTAATAACTTATTTTACGATGTTTTATATATTTCAAACAGGTCCTTGAACAGGTTATGAGCACCTGCAGTTATTTGCAGTAGCAAATAAAGTAAGCCTTTACTGGGATTCGCGTCACAGAGGAGTCTTGAAAAATGAACAAGCTTATGAGCAAGCCAGAATTGCATCAAAAACTGCTTTCACAAGCCCTCAGTGTTGTGCATTAAACTGGGCCAGTACAAAACAAATTATCAGGGAGAAGGCAAATTATATGTGGCTGGAGTACTGGGAAGGCTTCCAGGACTTAGACAAAGCAAAGCACTGATAAAACCGTACTACTACAAATACATTCTTAAATTCTCAAAATGTAATTTAAGGTTGATAAAGGTTTTTATTACAGGTCATTATGACATGAAATATCACCTTCATAAACTACTATTATCTGCTAATTCAGAATGCAGATTATGCCTAGAAGATGCGAAAACTACTATGCATATTTTTTGTGATTGTCCAGCTTTAATAATGCACAGAAAAAACTTGTTTCATATGGAATTTCTGTCACCAAAATAGATTAAGAGCTCTTCTCTAGATTTAGTTCTGGACTTTGGTAACAAAGCTTTAAATGGATTTGTGCAATAAATAGTGAAATGGGTACAATAGGACCTTTCTGGCCGTAGTACCGGCTGCTGGGCGGGTTCATGTCAATGTTTTAATAATAATAAAAAATACAATGTCGTATCAAATGATTTACCTATGTGAGATTTTCTATAATATTTACATTGATTAAATCGGCTCTACAATATTTCTTTATAAACATAAAAATTATAATAAAATAATTAATTACTAAAATTTTTACTGGTTCTAGTTTTTTATAAGTACTCGTAGTAATCATTCATATTATCTCAGAGAGAGATAAGGGTTAAGATAGATTCTTTTTCAAAGCGCGCTTTTCAAAATGAGCAAAACTGCAAATCAGATACAAAACTATAATTGATAACATTTTTTCTAGAATTGTTGTTTAAATAATTTATAATAATAAACATGGGCAATAACAAACATTGCAAAATATTGTAAATATTTTGTTGTTTGTTGTTTTTACTTTCCTTGTGTTAATTGTTTTGTTTTAATCCAGTTGTTTTCTTACAACGTAATATTAGAAAATTTGTAATAAAAACAAAAACAAATGACTAAACTAATTATAATACCATTCTAAGAAACTTATATTACATTTCTAATAAATTATTATCAATTTTAACATTAACTAAATTTTGAAAAAACCCTTATATTAACTGCAAAAGTTTGTTTATATTGCAAATCCGCTATAAACTGACATACTTAGAGTATAAAAAAATTTGTTATATGTAAAGTAATCTAGTACTAAAGTTATTTATAATTTTTATATTTTCTTTTTTATTAAATATTTTAATTTATTTATAATTTTTTTTTTTGTTTATTTCAGAATTAGCAATTGCTGCCATTTAATATAGGAATTTTAAAATTCCTATCTTAGACTTAAATTTTCTACATTGGTCGAGTATATAAATACTGCAAAGCTGCACCTCATAAATAATCCGTTTGCCATCATGGACGGCTTTGCACACGATTGGCCTACGCCATCACATGCAGATAATGCGCTGCAGATGGACCTAATTGCTGAACTGCATGCCGATTTTGAGCCACAAACTAGAGCAAGATCGAATACGTGGCCTTGCCCAAGACCAGAGAATTTTGTTGAACCACCAGATGAGTTAGATAGCACAAAAGCAAGCAATCAGCAATTAGCTGGTGGAGGTAAGATATTAATCTACTATATATATACTAACCTTAATAATTGTTTTAAATAAATGTCATTCTTAGACCTTACAAGCCCTTATTGCAGTTGTATGAAACAATTTTTTATAGTTAAGTAATTTGTTAAATTTTCTTCTAGTATAAATAAAATAGGGTTTTATTTTACGCATAGCGAAACTTCTTTTCCCACAAGGATGTTATGAACTGTTTCACTTTATATTCCACGATTTTTACTTATAGATTAGATCTTGAAAATTCACATCAAATGCAGTAGTTAAGCGCCATCGTAGAGTTTGATAATGTGAGGCCACATCCTTTTGCAACAGATCGGATTTATATACAATAATTTCAAAAGAGAATTATCAGATATTGTTGTTGTGTTCTTGGCAGGCTTACTAAATGAATAGCACTTAGTTGTTTGTGTGTTAACGAGTGGTTCCGGGACATAAACTTAACAATTTTTGAAATCAATATTAGGTTATCATTTACTAAGCTTTTTCATTCTTCTAGCAAAAAATAAGTGGTACTTCTCTAGAAGTCATCCGGAAATGCGGATTGGAAATTGTTTTTATTAGTATCGTTAGCAGACATGTTAATATATAAATTTAATTATATTAATGATTAATTTAAAAAGTTCTCTCAAATGAAACGATTTACTGTTAACGGTGTAAATTTCAAAGAGTTTTTAAAATAATTCATTCTTATAATACCGGAACAGCGAATATTTCATTGAAGAGCAAAGAAAGTATGTGGGTTCATCGAAGTAGCTTTAAATTTCCGATCTCAAAGAAGTTCAAATGATATAACTGCTTACCTCTCTTTGTCGCACATACCCCAAATCACCGAAGGTAAACACATTTCCACAGTATTGTAAGAATTGTCCTGATCCAACGGATGTCTGAAAACAACTACGTGCTAAACAATTATTTGTCACTCGTAAATATATCTTTCCTCAGCTGCAGCTCTACTCCCTCTGACATCTTCCATAAATTTTCATGTCCAAACATTCACACGCATTTAAACCCTATAAAAATTTATGACTCTTTCAGGTGGTAAGATTTCATTATCTGTACCTAGTGTATTTCCATTCATCTCGTTTTCTTTAATTAAAATAATTTCTACTCCCATATAACTATAAGCTATTCAGTTAAGAGAAATGTTTTCTAAATAATTTGTAGTGAAATTAGAAATCCTAATATGAGAACAGGTGCAATTATAATATATATGCAATATTTTATTTACCATTTAAACTATAATTATTAATTTTTGATACATTTTTAGATTCACAACAAGCCGTGCCAAATGTAAATGCTGCAAAAAAGAACTCATCTCGACGTAATGCATGGGGAAATCTCTCCTATGCGGATCTCATAACGCACGCTATTGGTTCAGCACCTGATAAAAGATTAACATTAAGTCAAATATATGAATGGATGGTGCAGAATGTGCCTTACTTTAAAGACAAAGGTGATTCAAATAGTAGTGCTGGCTGGAAGGTAAGAATATTATATTACTTATTACATTAAAAATTGCGAATTCTAGTTTTGGTTAGAAATCGGATTTAGTTTTAAATCTTAATTGAAAATTTTAGGATATAATATTTAAGAAGAAGAATAAGTCAAGAATATGCTTATGTGAGTTTATCAATACAATAATGTGGACTATAGTAAGTCCAATTTATTTTGATGATAGTGATAAATAAAAACTTCCAATTGTCTACAGAAATAAGGCTTTTAATAAATAAATTCTCAACTATCAGTTTTATCAAATTATTAAGAATTGTTAAGAAACAAATCTATTAAGCCATGTCCCTGCACAAATTATATTTAATTAAAAACACATGAAACTTAAGTTTGATGCGTATTTTATTGAATGAATCTTAAGACTAATTTTTTTTACAACAGTGTTCTGTATTTATACAAAATTATCTTGAGACTAATTTTATTCTCAAGGTTGAAATGTGTTACTTATTTTATTAATTTTAATTACATTTACTATTGTTTGAAAAAAAAGGTTAAAGAAAAGGACGGAAGTCCCAACACTAGGGATTTCCCTCCTATTGTTTTTATAAATATGTTTTAATGTTATAATTAGGTATTGAAAAATGTTGCAATGTTTAGTTGCTTTCAATTTCCTGTTTAATACAATACATAATTTAAAATATTTAGTAGTATAGAATACAATGTGTTGCTCGAGATTGTTTGTTTAGGAACAAACGATCTATACTTCTGATGTCTTGTGTTTGCTGATTATATCGTTCACTAGCGATATAACTCACACATATAAATGTCAAATTGTGGCCTATGCAACTTTAGTATAGACCCCACTACTTTGCAAGACCCATAGAAATAATATTCAATTATTTCAAAACACGGGTATCCGGATTGCTACCCGCTACCATCGCATGTCATATGTTGACTACCTTCGTGCAGAATCTAAAATAAAAATCAATTAAAAGAGAACAATTAACTACTAATTAAACAATATCACACAGATTGTCACCTGAATGGGATTTTCTTTAGTAGAGTCTTACTTCCTAGATGCACCCGTCGATTGTTTTTTTTAAATTATGTTTACATGATAACTGATTGCCATGGAATCAACAACAAAGCATTCAAAGACAAACATAAACTAACAGACTTTCACATCGATGCAGTTTCCTCTTTGAGACCATAGTTGCATAGCAACGAAGATCTCCGACTTATATCTCCCAGGAAGCATAAACTGTCATAGCCTAATTCAGGCCAGACTATAGCCATGTGGGCTAAACAGTCATTTCCTCATCTGCTCCTTACTCCAAACAACAGTTCTTCTTTTAACTCTACTCTTACCTAACCATGTTTTAGCCCATTTATTTATATGTGAAATTCATTTCATGATTCCTGTTAAATTAATCCCCACGGGGCTGTTTATTGTACGACAGTCTACTTCTTTAGTATTTTAGTTTTTGAGCTAATCTAATAGAATTATGTACATTAGTTTTTATTAAAATGGTGCCTAATAGTCCTTCTTTGAGATGACTGTATTTTAAGACGATGTATAATTATTTTTTTTTTCAAAAACTAATAGGTCTTATATCTGAAACCTGTTATACCTAATCTATAATGTAACAACTCAATTTCTATTACATCTAATAAGATTTTTTGTCAATTTAATTTAAACATTTTTGTATCTTTAATGTATGAATATCAAGTACACGTGTACCGTACTCAAATTTACTCAAATCAAATATAAAATATATTAATTAAATCTGATTGCATTACTCCCCATTCGTCTATCTAACCAACACTCCTTTGCGGCTACGATTGTCAATGAATATTTAATTGCTTTAGGCTGTTCAACGTCGTATATTTTATTATATAATAAAATAATTGAAGTATATGTTGTGTCAATTACAATATAATGATTATTTGTCGTAAATCGGGTCCCCAGAAAATATATTAAAAGTCATATCAACTGCGAAATATCACTGTGATTTCAATTCCAAATAGTGGAAGTGGCATTTACAATACAAAAAAAAAATTAATAAAAATAAAAATAAAAACTGGTTACTTTACAGCATCAACGACGAGTTGAAATACCACAGAACTAGCAGCGATTAGTTGCAGGCAGTCCTACTATTCGCTATTCAAGAGCTCCGGAGGGGTAAGACGTTAGGCGACACTAAGCAGGCCGCATTTTTAAATTGAAAGTAGCTTGAATTGTGGCATAAAGACCTGTTAAACCGTTAAGCTGCACAATAATTCAAAATTTAATTAAGGCACTTAAGTGTGTCTTCGTTTGACTGTCGGTCCAGTCATGCAACCGTCCATCCCTTCATCCGCTCGTCTATCTAACAGCTGGTCTGGTCTATTAGCTGCTTTTTGCGTATATTATTTTACGTTGCTGCGTCTGTTGTTTATAAACTGACTCGCATCTCTCCCCTCGTCTCGTTCGCTTTATGCGGATATACATACTTGCAGTTTTCAGCTTGCAATTTGCACTTTGCGGTTTGTTTATTTGTTGCTTTGCCATTTAATTTGCAAAGTTTTTTTGCATTTTGTTTGTTGCTGTTTCCTTGTTTTTATTTGTTTACATTTTTTGTGTGTTGTTGCCACATTTTTTATTTTTTATTTTTTACATTTTTGTATTTTTTTTGTTTTGTTTTTTACTTCAACTTAATTTGTGTTGTTATTATTATCGTTGCTGTTTTGCAAGTCAAGTTCACGGCCATTGCTTTTGGCTTAGTTCTTTTATTATTACGAATTTGATTTTATTTTCATTGTGTTATTTTTTGCTGTAGTCACTTTTAATTTTTTTTTTTTTTAATTTATGTTGTATCATTTGTTTACATTTATTATAAACAAACAATAAATAAAGAAACTTCAACTTGAATGTTGTAGTGTTTCACTTACAAATTATGAGTTTTTTCGCTTGGTTAAGAGAGCTTTAAAAAGTTGCATAAAAATATAGAAATTTATGGTTTATTAAGTATTGCTTTTAAATAAGTAAAATACATGGTCTTTGCTTACTCTTATTGGTTTAAATGAAGTGGACAATGTGGCGTGGTGGAATAATTGAAGGATTTGTATCGGAGAATGTTGGGTCCATTTTATATACCATATTTACCGAGAAACAGTGTGTCGAATGTCTATTTGACAAGCTTTCAGTCAAAAACTGAAACTTTTACTTCTTAAAAATGGTTTATTTATATATTTTGTTCCGGTTCACTTTTAAGTCTATACTAGATGAGCTAAGTGCGTTTTGTTTAATACTTATAACTTGAACAATAGTAATGAAATTTAACAATTAAAAATAAAATATAATTAATTAATTTAATTATTCTACAGCTGATTTATGATTTCGTTCTAATATAAAACAGCAAAACCAATTTGTTAATAAAAACTTTCACAGCAAAATTAACAAAACTCTAAAAAATGTACGAACATAAAAGTCAAGTACGGCTTTGGGTCACTTGGCTAATGAACGCTGACTCTGAGCTTCAAATTTGGCAGGATATAAGTTCGATTCTTGGTACTTGCAACCTCAAAAAATTATTTACTAATAATTAAATACAAGAATTATTTTCAAGTCCACTGATGATAGGTATTTGGCAATACTCGAAACAGCTGTATGGTCAGCCAAAAATTCAATTAATTAAAATAATATAAAAAAGAGTTATTGTTCTTGTAGTTCACTACTTTTCGAAAAACCTCTTTATTAAAATTTTTCTTTTTACTCGATTCATACATATTCGGGTAGACTTTTTGTTGATATTATGTCTTTTAATTGATATTTAAAATCGACAATCTCTTCCATATCGTTTTTGTTGTGTCTCTGATTGAGAAATCATTGCATATATGTTATTTATTTAAAGAATATTTTATATTTCCCAATATATGTTATGTATGTGCATTTCAAATTTTAATGACTTTCATTTTCATTCACACAAAGTAATAAAATTTTAATCATGTATCTTGAAGAAGCAGTAAATGACGAATTACTAATTTCGTAGATAATATCGAAATGTATAGATAATGTTTTCCTATTCATTTTGTTATATCGTTAGATCGTGTAGAGATTGAACGTAAAAAAATTTCAATTTTGTATATTTTAATCAAGATTTTAAGTAACATTAATAAATAAGACTACACTATTGATAAAAACTTTAACAATTTTATAATTAAAAGTAGAAAAAATTTTAGGATTGTTGTATCCAAGGGTGTTGAGATATGGAAGATCTTAAAATAGCAAGGTGTGGAAGATGAAAACTGTAATTGGGAAAATTTATTTTTAATTGTACTTGTGCTTATTAACTTATATGCACTTAAATTCTTATGGATATAATTATATGCGTTTAATTTTTTATCAAATAATTATGTTTAATTAATATATGCTTAATTTCATATCAAAACGAAGCACTAATGCTTAAGCACTTAAAATAAAACACAGCAAATATTTAAAACTGTTAATATATTTATATAAAGATTTCTGAGGTTTGTTTTAAAGGGGATTTGAAAAATTTCTATCAAATATTAGGAGGGGGAAAAATATGATTATTAAATCTTTTGGAGTTGATAAATTTTTTTTTCTATTATTTTTTTAAATTTAAAAAACTTATTTTGAAAGAATATATTTACAAAATCAAAATATGATACTCTTAGTTGAGGAATCTTTTTATGTGTTATTATCAATTCCGGCTTATTAAGACTTAATAATTATTTAAAATTTATTTTATTTGTTATTTAATATTTTTTATTTATTATTTTCTTCAATTTTTTTTCTGTTTTTTTTTTGTTTTGTAATTTTTTTTTTAATTTAATCTTCAATTCTTTTTTTCAATTTTTTTATTTTAATTTTCTTATTTTAATTTTTTTTTGTAATTTCTTTTCATTGTTTTGAATTTTATTTTTTTGATATTTTAATTTTCTTTTTTTTTGTTTTTATATTTTTTTTTGTTTTTATTTTGTCTTTTTTCCTTTTTATTTAAATGTTTTTGTATTCTTTCATTGATGGCTATTATATAAAGGTAGGTCATTTGAACTTTGCCAAGGCTACTTAGATAATTAATTTATTATTGATTATGATTATAATGTGAT